ATATCTTCAAATTCATCATCTTCTACTAATTTAAAAGGAAGGTTTTTAAGAATGATAAACCTGATTACGCATTTCCTGGCTCTGGCAGCGTCATAGTTCCAACTACCGAGACTACCAGAAGAGGAGGATTGAGAAATCATGGATTATCGGATATCACCTTGAGGAGTCTGGCATTTGTTGTGTTTATTTAAATGGCGTTTGAGGTGGTTGGTGCCGCTCTTATGATGGGCTTGAAAAATCTTGCCGCACAAAGCACACTTAGCCTTTTGGGTGAGGATCCTACCGTGTTCATCTTTGGTGACGTCGATCTTCTCGTAAAAATTCCACACATCGGATCTTGGCCGTTTAGGAGCTCTTGGTGCAGATTCGTCGCCACCGGATTCGGGATTAACTTCGGTAGGAGGACTTATAGTAGGATGACTCATTTCAGGAGGACTCATTTCAGGATCAAGAGATATGTTTTGCTCTTCATAATCAGATCCGGAAGCCATTTGATGAAAGGATTAGAAAGTATAAATAAGAGAGTATAAGAGTATAAGAGAGAGTATAAGAGTATAAGAGAGAAGAGATGAGTTTTTGGTGTGAAGAAAACAAATAAACCCCCCCCTCTATTTATAGAACCAGCCCCCTAGGCAAATGACCAAAATAACCTCATAAAATAGCCGTTTTTGACCGTTTTTGGAGGCAAAACGGTCAAATGGCCAAATTGGCCGTTGTGGCCGGGCCGGGCCGGCCGTTTTGGCCACAACGGTCACTATTGTGACCGTTGAAGCCGGCGGCCGGCCGTTTTCACCAACGGTCACCATTGGGTGACCGTTGTGGCCGGCCGGGCCGGGCCGGCTTATTTCCGCAACGTCACGAGTGGTGACCGTTGCACACGGGCCGGGCTCCGGGCTCCGGGCTCTGGGCTGCCCGGCCCGGATGTTGCCCGGCGTCGTACTGTTCGGGGCCGGCCGGGCGCCACTGAGGCAACCCGGACCCGGGCCGGAACCCGGCCTGGCCCGGGCCGGGCTCCGGGCCGGCCGCGGGTAAAATGGACAGCCCTAACGGCAGTTAATTAAAGGGCTTCCTTAATTCCCCTATAATATTGCGTTTTCGAAATTACTATTCCTCGTAGTTTTATTTGTGAAAATAGAACTCCAGAGTGATTTCTTTTGACTCTTTTACCTCGAAATCGTCTATTATCCATTTCCAATGATATATCGACTTCCTAAGAAACACAAAGGTCATTTGCTAATGTGTATGTTAAGCACTAACCCAGTTATGACTAGTCAATTCAACGGAGAAAAAAAAGGACTTAATTGATGTGACTCGCAAAATTCGGAGGGAGCCCGCCCCAACCCCAAAATTTATCCCCCCCCCCTCCAAATTTCGATCTCTCCCCCCCTCTGCCAAAACCATCGCTCTCCCTCTCTCGCCGCCGAAACCAGCGCCGACCTCCCTCCCTCCCTCTCTCTCGCCAAAACCAGCGCCGCCCTCCTCCTCTCGTCGTCGTCGTAGGAGCTCTCTCGCCGCCTCCCTCCCTTTCTCGTCGCCAAAACCAGCGCCGCCCCCCCTCCCTCTCTCGTCTTGTTATATAGCTAAACCTCCTAAAGTTTTAAACTTGTTTTTCTTATTAATTTTGATTTAATTCAACGATCTATTGATCTTGATTTTCGTCTAGTTATTGATTCATTTGAAATTACAGGAAGTGAGAGGTAGATTTCGCCCTTTCTCAGAGATCACCGGAGTCTGCCCTCGCTATAAAGATCAGATTGACTGGAAACCCCTAACCTATTTTAGAACTATTTTCATTGTATTATCTTCTCATTAATATTCATAAGTTGTCAAACTAGCTGATTAAAGGCATTGATGTTGTCTTGAATTGCAATACCTTCTTCCACCTTCAATGAATAAATTTCCATCTTCAAACACAATCGGTTGGTCATCGACTTTGATGCATAAATCCCCTCGAGCATTTCCACAGCCCCCTTGGTGTGGTCTCCTACTTAACATTGTACTTTCTTAGAGGCAAGCTCCAAACAAATTGTGATAACCGTCCTCTTTTGCATGGAACTCCATTCAGCATCTTTCAACCCTTTCAGTTTCTTCTCCTCCAAAGCTTGATCAACACTCTCGTGCACAAGAATATCTTGAACCGTATAATGTCATACTGTAAAGTTTATACAATATGCTCTCACTTAAAACTGACCAACCAATTTCTTGGCGGGTTTAAACACACAACCCGTTTATCCTAAAATCCAAACCCACAAAATTCTTTTCCTCTTGTGGTCAAGGAAACCCCTAACCTATTTTAGAACTATTTTCATTGTATTATTCCCTCTATACCATATATAATCATCTAAATTTTTTACTCTATCAATTTCTAATCGTATATTAGAGGGAAACGTATGCTAGTGGTGATATTTAAGTGACTGCAGATGTTAGGTTAGGTTAACTCAACCATGGTAGGAAAAAATAATTGAAACATTAACAGAGGGACAAAGTTGAATAAAACATCAGATTTGAGGGACTAATGAGTAAGTACTGAGATTTGAGAGATTGATTTATAATTATGGATGACTTAAGGGACTTATACGAAATTGTCACAAATAAATAATTTGGATGAGAAAATTTTGCCAAAGTTAACTCTGATGAACAATACTTAGCTATACTCGTCCCAATTAACTACAATATATATGAAAATTTATGGGAAATCCTCTCTCCAACAAGTAGGGGTGGGCAACGAAATGAGCTGGCTCGTCCCGCGAGCTAGCTCGTCCCGCGAGCTAGCTCTTGCGGTCTTAGGGACGAGATGAGATGGCCCACGTCATGGAGCGAGACAAGTGTGCCATGTGTATCGCTTTTTCGTGGGCTTAGACCTCTGCCCAGCCCGCTCGCGAAACAAAATTAAGTGAATAGGGCCACGACACGTGCTAGCCCGCCCAATCCACCATGTTTTAGTTTTATTTTTTTAGATTTTGTAAATGATAGTTTTGTAAATAGTTTTTAAGCATTGTTTAACACTCTAAAATTGCATGTAACTAACTAACAATGCAACCATTATGAAAATAAATAATAATTTTATTAAGTAAAATTGTATATTTGTATAGAATGATAAAGAGAAACATCTCAAACACAGAGATTTTACGTAGTTCGGATCAAATCCTACTCTGGAGGCGTCAATTAATGGTTCCACTATTTTAAAATATATGAATAAATTACAACCAACTTTAAGTAAATAAAAATAGAGAAAATATGTCAACTTGTAATAGGGTTCAATCTTCTTCATTCTCATGGTCTTCCTCCTCAAAGAAAGTCGCACATCCTCAAAAGACCCCTTTAGGTAGCGGGGTCATGGTAGACATCCTCTTGGACCCAGATGTCAGCTCTTCTATGCTCATGTGGTTATTCATTGTCTATATTATGTATAGCTAAAGGTCCAAGGGATGAAGTGATGAAATCATGAAGGGGGGAAAATTGTATGTGAGCTAACGGAGTGGGTCCAACGTGCCAGCTCGATTACATTTAGGCCCAGCTCGCTCGCTGGGATTTGTGGGCTGAGTGAGCTGCCAGCTCGCTTGTTGCTAGAGGCCAGTATAGCATCTTCCCATGGCCCACTATTGTAGTGGGCCGAATCAAGCCCGTCGCTTGTTGCTAGAGGCCAGTATAGCATCTTCCCATGGCCCACTATTGTAGTGGGCCGAATCAAGCCCGTCCCACGTCGAGCCTGGTCGAGCCAAACTCAAGAGTGAGCCAAGTGATTAGGCTCGTGGGTCGACGTAGCCCAGTGCCCAGCCCTACCGACAGGTTTACAGCTTAGCATAGTGGGTGAGACTTCATTTTAGTGATTTAGTGAAGTGCGGGTTCGAGTCCCCACAAAAACCTTTTGATTCTGCCCTGTTCATTTTTGAATCCAACCATTCTCTAAATTTGACTAGCTTTTTCATCTATAAAGCCAAAGTTCTACTCCAATTTATTTTTTTATCCCACCCACATTCAAAAAGTCTTTTATTTATAAACAAAATTTTATTCCTATTTAATTTTAAACACTCTTGCTTCTGGAAAAGAGTAATTTGTTTATTGATCCATAGTTTTAACACCCCCCCATTTATTTTTAACTCCACCTATTTTCTGAAATCACTCTGCACTTAAAACTCTTCATAAAATAAAAGTTTAATTACTTTATATTTTAACAATATTATATATGGTATCTGTTACTTTATAAATATGATTTGCTATATATTTTCTCCTAATATACTAAGATCTTGGTTATTTCTAATATCATGTTATGTGCAACTTGTAATTGAATTTTTGTTCTTTCTATAATATCAAAGATTTTCACTCATTTTATTTAAAAACTCACCACTTTAATATCATCACTGTGCCAAATATGACAATGAAACCGTTGGGCTAGTTTCCAGTTTTTCAAAAAAAAAAAAAAAAAAAAAAATCGAAGGAGCCCGCCACAGCCCCAAAATTTATCCCCCCTCCCAAAATTTCGATCTCTCTCCCCTCTGCCAAAACCATCGCCGCCCTCCTCCTCTCGCCGGCCTCCCTCCCTCTTCTCGGGCGCCGCCGAAACCAGCGCCGACCTCCCTCCCTCCCTCCTCCTCTCGCTCGAAAACCAGGCCGCCCTCCCTCCCTGTCGTTGTCGTCGTCGCGGAGCTCCTCCTCGCCGCCTCCTCCCCTTTCTCGTCGCCATAAACCAGCGCTGCCCTCCCTCTCCCGTCTCGCCTTTTTGTTTATATAGCTAAACCTCCCTAAAGTTTTAAAGACTTGTTTTTCTTATTATAATTTTGATTTAATTCATCGATCTATTGATCTTGATTTTCGTCCCTTGTTATTGACTCATTTGAAACTACAGGAAGTGAGAGATAGATTTCGCCCTTTCTCGGAGATCACCGGGACGTCTGCCCTCGCTGTAAAAAGATCTAGATTGACTGGAAGAAGCAAAGTAATTTTCCTTTTTTGTTTGGGGTTGGGGGGTGGGGGGTGGGTCAGTATCTCCATTGTCTGTTTGATTTATGTTTGCTTGCACTTTCACATGATAGTCGTGTGGGCTTGCTCCATTCATTTCAACAATTTTTGAGGTAAGGGTAATCCTCCTGAATTATGAATACAGTTTCTTTCAGCACAAAAGAATTCAATCATGAAATCTGTACTAATACTTCTCTCTTCTTAAACACTGGAAATAAATCAATAGAAGTAACTGGTAAATTAGCAATGCCTTGTTATGGCTTCATTTACTTTTGATGCTTATGTTTCTTTCTCATTGGACAAGATGTTATTATGACTTTGAGATTCCTTTTTAATTAAGCTCCACATTATGTCAGACCTCCCATGTTGCAGCTCGGTATGGAGAAACAACATTCCTTTACCATATTGTTGCAAAATGGAACGCTGACCCAGATACCCCTGATAACGATGGCAGAAGCCCTTTGCACTGGTAGTTGATTTATCTTTCCGTAGGGTTCCGCCAGTATTTCATTCTGATGATACTTTCATTTTCTTTCTCCTATGGTTTTCTGGATGTGCAAATATTTATCTTTTGCTACTATTAAAAAAGCCTTTCAAACATTTTCAATGTATAAGACTTGCAGAAGCACATAATTTTCGGTTGTTTACCGATGGGAGCATGAGAATTTTCCGTCAGGTTAACATATTGAAAGTTTAAAAGAAATTTGAATTATATTCATCTGAGCGTCAAAGGAGATATTCCACACTTGGCGACCATAACAACCATAGGAACATCTATATCATAAATTTATGCCTGTAAAGTCTTCAACATCTCCTTTTTATATTCTAAGCTTCCTGTAAAAGGAAAAGAAATTACCTCATCATGGTTAAGAAGTATCCTTATGTTCAAGGCAATGCTAGAAGGTTGTTTGACAGACGTTGTGATGGAAATAGCCCGCTTGGTAGACTATCAAAATTAGGACTTGCACCTGCATTGTGGTGTGTAATTATTTCACTGCTTGTTACCTACGTACATTCTGTGCTCACAGGTATGTAGCCATTCCATATTTGTCTTTTTTGAAACATTAAACATTGTTTAATTAATACTTGTAATTTGCCTATCATCTCTTTGTTTTTGTTCAACATCTTATTTTCCGAAGTTGACGGCTGGGTTTGGACTTCTTGCTTGGTTTGGGGTTTTATTGGCAACTGTTGGACTCGCTATGTTTTATAGGTGCAGTAGGTATGTTTAAAATCTGCCTTTTTTCTGAAATCCTTTTAGAATCCGTATCATATTCTGTGTATCCAGTTGCATTCCTAAAATTGAGCAAAATGTCTGCTTACTTTATAGACAAGTATCTGAAACCTGTAAATTTATCCAGTATTTCCTTACACAAAAAAGTTCCAAAGTTTAGCCAAACCATACAAGTTGATTGTCCACCACCAATTTTGGTCATGCTTGAGCCTTTTTCATACTCCTAAAGATGCCACGAACGTGAAATATTAAAATCTTTCCCAATTAGTTTTTGTGTACTGATTTTATATTGAGCATCTTGCAAGCCTAGTGCTTATTATAGACAAAAACAAATTTATAATTGGGTCTTCTAAGCTCCAGGGGTCAATGTAGATGCTTAGACTATCAAAGTGGATGGTGCATGGGAGTTCTTTCCATTGCACATTTTCAGTCTCGAAACTGAGCTACTGACTAAATACTAGAGATAGGCAAAAAGGTTAGATGTTTTATTGCTGTTGTTGATATTTATGTGGGATGTATATTAGTTGATATATTATTAGGTCTGTGTTATTTTGTAATTGAAGCTGCTAGCAGGCAAACAGTCTGTTATTATGTTCGGAGAGGCAAATGATGTTATTGGCTACATGAAGGAGAATGATCGTAAGCCTAGTGATGTAACATACAAGACGGTCGAAAGCTAGCTCTACAGGTACAGGGGAAAGTTGATCTGCAGCAGTGATATAGGTACTATTTTCAATTCCTTGTTTGCATGTTTTATATGTCTTTGTAGTTTGTTCACCAGCTTTTTCTAACACAACGTTAGATATATATTTGAAACTGATGCCTTATATTGTGGCTTTGACGTTGTAATAAAAGAACGAGACAATAAAGAGTAGATTGGAGAGCAAATGGAAAACACAAGGTTTTATACGTGTGCACCAATTTTGTAAGATTTGAAAATAATTTCATTCATGACTCACCTTTTGTTACCTTATATATCTTGATTTATTTACTTAAAACTAAACTTGTGAATTTCCCAGTATTTACTTAAACTAAACTTGTGAATTTCCCAGTACTGGGTTCTAGATTTCAAAGATTAACTCAGAGTCGCGAATACTCATGATAATTAAATATAAACAACTTTTATAAAGTCATGCAATTCCATAATTTATACATAAACAACTTGAAGCCAACATTATCTTTTCACATAACACCCGCTGGAAAGATCCTGCTAACTTACGATATTGTCAAGTTGTAGAGATTATTTATATCTGTCATTTCATTCATGCCTAAGGAATTGGTCCATCTTGTTTCTAACCTCATTCTGGCTTTGATTGCTATGCCATCGAATTTCAATTCCAGTGCTACTACAATAAAGTTCTTTTAACTTATGTGAAAAGTTATAGTTATTTTTCTTTTAAGTTTTTTCATAGGGAGTTTCAATGTCCTTGAGTGTTTCATAAAGGATGAGACAGAAGATTATAAGTAGCAGTTAATGTGCTTGTGATCATCTCAGATGTTAGCCGGATTGAAATCGAATACACAACAAAAACAAATTTCCTTGATTGTTTGTTTATATACATTATGACAACAAATCAATATATAACAAAGAACAAATCTATTTTGACCCTGTACACTGTACACAAGTTTCCGAATATCATAATATCAGTTATTACATTTGTTTATCAGCATTCCTTTCTCTTCTTTCCCTTGAAAGTACTTCAGCGAAACGAGCAAGCGCTTCTTCATTAGTTCCTTCGCCATCGACGGGCTCATACCGTCCTGTCTCCAAGTTCAATCTAGATACCGGCTTCTTCAGCAGGTCTTTGCCAATTTGAACCTCATACCGTCCTGTCTCCAAGTTCAATCTAGATACCGGCTTCTTCAGCAGGTCTTTGCCAATTTGAACCAGATTTTGTAGATTCTCCTCTGTCGATACATCGATCGACGATGCGCTTCCGGTTAGTGTATTGTCCTGTATCATAGCAAACATTTTGGTTCCATCAAAACACATATCGAAGGACACATCAACTAGGGTTAAATTAGGATAGGCCCTCTGAACTATTTATCAAATTGAACTAACCACTCCTGTAGTTATAATGTTGCAGACAAAACCCCTGAGTGTAAGTTTCTTGACTCTTTTCCGGGGCTCTACCTGCAACAAGAGATTATCACTCACGGGTTCTGTTTGCAACAATTAATAGAACCCACAATAGAACTGTAGGGCTCCATCTCAATTAACCTATCGACGTATTGATTATTTTTACCTGTATGCGAAGATAGTTCTTCTGAGAGTGGAGTGCTTGAATAACAGTGGATGCGTGGATATCGACCAAGTTAGAGCTTGCTTGACCGAATATGTCGATGATTGGGGATGCGCCTTTGTTGTGTATTCACTGGAGGACTCCCCATTTGGCAGAATCTTTGGCGCTGATTCTGTGTGTTATTTTCGCTGATCCAGTGCCGAGAGAGATTACCACTGCTGCTAACTCCAAATTATGAGTGGGATAGTTCTGCTTATGCACCCTCAACTGCCGTGATATATACGCTACTTCTCTCTGAGCCTGCATCAATACACCTCCTAAGTCTGCCAACGATGCATCTGTGTAGACGACGAACGTCCTGTCGCTACTCGGAATAGTCAAAACTGGTGCTGAAGTCAACTTAGTCTTCAAGATATCAAAGGCCTTCTGGCACTCCATACTCCAAATGAACTGTACACCATTCTTCGTAAGGCATGTAAGTGGCGTCGAAATCTTTGAGAAGTCCTGGATGAACTTCCTGTAATAGCCGGCTAAGCCCAAGAAACTACGAATCTCTGTCACCGTGTTCGGCAGTTCCCAATCAAGAACTGTTGTAACCTTAGCCGGGTCCACTACTATGTGCTCTTTACTGATGACGTGGCCGAGAAATCTGACTTCTGAAAGCCAAAATTCACACTTGCTGAACTTGGCATATAACTGATGCTCCTACAGAGTCCTCAAAGCTAATCGTAGGTGCTCCTCGTGGTCTGCCTCTGATCTCGAATAAATGAGGATGTCGTCGATAAAAACAATCACGAACTAATCTAAGAAGGGACGAAAAACCCGATTCATCAAGTCCATGAATACCACGGGTGTATTGGTCAGTCCGAATGGCATAATGACTATGAACTCGAAAGATCCATATCGAGTAAGAAAGTCGGTCTTGGGAATATCCATCTCCCGAACCCGCAACTGATGATAACCAGAACGAAGATCAATCTTCAAGAAGAACTACGCTCCCTGCAGCTGGTCGAACAAGTCATCAATCCTAGGTAATGGGTACCTATTCCGGATAGTGACCTTGTTCAACTCCCTATAATCAATGCACAATCTCATACTACCGTCATTCTTCTTCACGAAGAGGACCGGTGCGCCCCATGGAGAATGACTCCGACGAATAAAACCCTGAGCCAACAACTCGTCCAACTGAGTCTGAAGCTCCCTCATCTTAGCTGGTGCCATGCGATAGGGTGCGCGAGATATCGGGGCTGTGCCTGGCTGCAACTCAATATAAAACTCAACCTCTCTCACAGGAGGTAGTCCAGGTATGTCCTAAAAGACATCCTGATACTCTGAGACAACTCTAGTCTCTAATAAATCAACACCCTGATCCCGTCGTATCACCTCCTCGATGTACGCCAGAAATGACTCCGTAAAACGGTTACCCTGAGATGTTGCCACAATCATCTCGGACCCATCGGACGCCCGCAAATTGACTGTCTTCGCAAAGCAGTTAATACTAACATGGTAGGAAGAGAACCAATCCATACCAAGGATGACATCGAACTCGGACATATGCAACATTATCAAATCAACCACGAACTCCGACTCATCTAGACTGATAGGACACCTCCTACAAACACTCTCCAGAAGCGATATCTCACCTAAAGGGGTGGAAACTGATAAATGGGTGTCTAATGGCTGAGCTACGAGCTGGAGTCTAGACATAAAATCATACGAAATGAAGGAATGCGAAGCTCCCGAATCGAAGAGAATACGGGCGGGAAAAGAATTTACAAGAAACGTACCCTCCATCACTGCTCCGCTAGCTCCATGATCACGCAGTACTACCGCATATACTCTGCCTGTGGCTGGAGACTGCTCTGCTACTAGTGCTGGAGAATACGGTACTATCTGCCCCTGAGGAACCTCCTGAACTACACGAATCTGTCCCTCAGTCCTCTGTGCTGCTGGCGGTGCCTCAAGTCTTGTCTGCTGGCCCTGAACTCTGTCCTACTGTCGCTGCTGCTGCTGGTTCGGGCCCTTGCCCTACTGAGTTCCTGCTGGTGTGCTGCGACACTCCGATGCCTTATGCCCGACCTTGCGGCAGTTATAGCAAACTCCCTGGAACTTGCGCTGCTGATACGCTCTCTGATCATACTGGGGTCCCTTCTTATGAGGACCTTGCTGCTGCTGCTAGGATCCAGAAAAAGGTCTCTTGTTCTTCCCCTTATCCCCGATCTGTCCTGCCTTGGTCTTCCCTTCCTTATCCTTCTGAAACATGTTAGTCTCAATCTCTTGAGAAGTGGCAGCCTCAGCTACCTCCCCCACTTTCTGAAACATGTTAGTCTCAATCTCTTGAGAAGTGGCAGCCTCAGCTACCTCCCGAACTGAAAAGAACTTCCTCGAGACGAGGTATCGACAGAGATTAGGGCGGAGCCCTGCTAGGAACATCTGAGCCTGTCGCTCTCTTATCTGCCACATGCTCGTGAAGTGCAGCAACTCCATAAATCTACTCTCAAAATCTACCACTGACATATCCCCCCGAGTCAACCGGGACAACTCAAGCTCCTTCCCAGTCCGTACGGCAGAAAAATATACTGTCCATCAAAGAAGTAGATGAAGTCCTCCCATGTGAGGGTCATCCGATGCTCTGGAGTGAACAAGAGTCGATACCATCTCCCGACGTCTCCCTTCAGACTGTAGGACGCTAATCTCTGCTTCTGGACCGAATCCACATTAAGTATATCAAGGATATTACTCACATCCTCCTTCCACTTATGGGCTGCAAGAGGATCTGCTGATCCCTGGAACTCTGGTGCTCTCATCTTCTGGTACTTCTCAACCATACGGAGCCAAGCCTCCTGCTCCGTGGCTCTATCTGGAACTACTGGTGGAATGGCTACAGGTGCGGCCTCTAGGGGTCTCTCACTGATAGGAACTGCTGGTATCCCCTACGGTTGATCTGCTGGTGGTGGTGGTGGTGTCGGTGACACGATATGACTCACCACTAGCTCCTCAATTGCTGCCATCCTAGCTATGATGGGAGCCATGAGATCAATAAGGTACTGGGGAGCTTGTTGCGGCTCCGGGGGCCATGAGATCAATAAGGTACTGGGGAGCCTGTTGCGGCTTGGGTGGTGCCTGCTGTAGCTCGGGTTGAGCTTTTTGTGGCTCAGGTGGAGCCTGCTGCGACTCTGCTTGTCCAGCTCTTCGAGTACGAGGTCTACCACGTCCTACCATCTCTCTGATCATAAGAAAAACAAGGGTTTATGAGTCCAAATAGACATATACACATACATAGCATATCACAATATGATTTTCACAACAATTTAGTATTCACTCAAATACTTTAAGTTTACACAAAATAGTTGTCATAAAAAAAATATCCTCAAATTTTGAGATATACGCATCTTTAAGTTTACACAAAATAGTTGTCATAAAAAAAATATCCTCAAATTTTGAGATATACGCATATATCGTACTCACTCGTACTAGGGAATCCTTACGGACTTTATACATGAATCCTAAGAAACTCTATCCTACCTCCATGACTCGACACAGGATGATCCTAAGGATACTAAAACTAGAGCTCTGATACCAACTGTGACGCCCCCGGGTTCACACAAGGCTGCAGTCCAAGGTGAAACCAAAAATGTCAAACCTG